ATGGTCTTTTTGCAACCCTCGCCTAAAGCCTCTCTCGTTTTCTCGTCTGCGCAGAACGAGAAAAACCCCAAGGGGACCCCGCAGGAACTAAACACTACAGCCCTTAAGCCCGCGCCACGATGAGCCCGGCTCGTAGCAGGCATCGGTGAACAGGAAGTAAGGCTCTTGGTGGTCGGCTTCAATCACATGTGGTTTGCTCACGCGGAGGCACTCACGGAAATGAAGAAGTGCATCCCACAGATCCTCGCCCTGAACCTCGTCGCATCCTGAGTGCACGTGTTTAGTGACAGCCTGTAGGCAAAGACGCGACGAGCGTCCAAACAAGTAGCTGTCACAGAACTGCATCCTGCCGCGCAGGCGCTGCGCCGTCGCCCGAGACAGGGCGCGAGACTCCACAACACGAGAAATGAAGCCGCACAGCTCGTCGATCCGATCACGAGTGTTTGTAATCAGCACTCTTCCAAGATGGGCATCGGACAAATTGAAGACCACACCTAACGCCTTAAAGACTTTAGCGAACTCAGTTGCTTTCGACCCACACTCGTCGAATTGCCAGCCTAGCAGCCGGAAAAGGGCCGAGGCTGCTGCATCAGTGTGGCGAATGTCACATGTCTTGGCAAGTGTGACGAAATCGTCATAGAAGACACTCCACATCAATCCCAGACAAGTGCATCCTAACCACCAGATTGATGTCGCAGCTCGGATGAAAGCGTAAACTGAGCGGGCCGCCCCAAATGGGAGCGCAAGGAGCTGGTCCACTTCAACCGAGCAAGCTCCGGCATTCCAATGACTCACATAAGAATGTTTCAACGATTTCGGATTTATCGGAAGCTGTCTGTATGCAGAGCGAAGGTCGTAAGCTCTGCCAGAGAGAGGAGCCCCAGGCATTCGGCGCATCGCCGCAAGAGCAGCCCCCGCGATCACGTCCGGGCCATGCGGCTTGGGAGACTCACGCACGGTCACAAGCTCGTTCACCCCACTAGCCGACATGTCGTCGACCAGGCGAACCTTGACGCCTTGCTTCAACCCAAACCTCCTACTGACCAACGAATCCTCCTCAAGACTATCCCTAGCAACCGGACCCCTAGCCCACTTACGGTCGCGCTCCTCGAACGTCTTCGCATGGACCACTTCATCCTCGTCGCCTTGCGGCCTGACACGATCAAGAATCTTATCTCTTAAAGCTGGGGCCCAAGTGACAATGTCCTCTTCAGACCTGTTCGGGGGTTTGAACACAGGCGGGAAGATCCCCGTGACCGGGGTTGGGCCGGTGAGCAGAACCCCTTGAGTTACCTCAGTGAAGACATCAACATCAGGATAATGGAATTCCTCCATCAGCTCTTTCCAAAGCAGAAGCTTCTTCGGGGCAAGGATTGCGGCAACATGAGGCGCAAGTGTTTTCTTGAACTCCATTTCGGCCGGCTCCAATTCTTGGCTCCGGGCCATCCACTTCTTGAAGAAGAGCGCCCGGTCCCTGGCCAAAGACTCCGAAGATTCGGCTGCGTTCCTCTCGATGGCCTTTGTGAGGGCATCAGGAAGCATGAAATCATTCCGACAAGGATGACCTGCCGCTACTGCTGCTTTTACGAACTCTTCTGGAGACCTAGGCAACCCCCAAGCAGAAATGAAGACCTTAGGCTCACCCCCTTTAACCGAAGTGTCAAGAGTGACTCGCAACAGCTGGGCTCCGACCGGGAGTGTGCGCAGGTGGCAGTACACGCAAGCAGGCAACTCAAGTGGCGACTTCAGGCGAGCCATGCAAGGAACAGGCCAATCGGCTGGGCCCCGAGCAATGACCACCTGCTGGTGCTCAGAGACTAAGGCTGGGAACTTCGATGCTTTCGGCTGGGACAAAGTAGCTGCACGAGCCGTGAAGTCGGCTTGCGGAGGCGGTTGCATGGGGTTATGTTTGACACAAGCTGCGATGCATTGCGCCAAGGGCCATGAGTATGCACGCGACGCCGTGGCAGGCTGCAGCAGCGCAAGCCCACAGGTGCACGACTGCTGAAGGGAACCGAAGGCATCTTTATTGCTGGCGATGGCACTGCAAACGGGATCCCCACCGAAGCAACACAAGTTGAACTCAACGACATGCGGGCACAACAATCGCACCTGGTGGCCTGGGGCACTGCTCCAAAATTCGCACAAGAGGCAGCTCGATGGACACCAGCTGCTCCGCCTGAACTGCAAAAGCTACGATGGTTTCAATGGCATGTGCAAGCTCGTCGGTGCAAGGTGCTGGCGGCGCCAAGTGCACCGCTAAAACATGTGGTGATCGCAGCCACTGAAGAATGAGGGGCACACACTTAGCAATATCGACCTGTCGAGGAAAAGCTGCAGCAGAAGGATCCCGGACACAGTCAACGCAAACCGACCCTGGGTAGCCGTGCGCCTTAAGATGCGAAGTGAGGCGGCCGATACCGGAGAACAACTCCACACAAACAGGAAAGTTTGAAGCTGCATTTGAGAAGACATCTGCAGTGCCGATCGCCGGTACCTGAAATTGGAAGTTAAGCAAGGGCTCGATGAGCTCGGGGCCCATGGCTTCATACCCCTTTATGGTGAAGGCAACTAACAAGCGCCGCAGACCACTCCAGGGTGCAGTGGCATGTCGAACATGGGAGTTGCCCCCAGTGCGTTGTTAAGGTCCCTGTGGACAATGGCACACTGATTTGTAAGCAGCGCTAAACTGGTAAAAGTCACGGACGGCTCAGCAGCGCGCATCACACAGGCAAGGAGAGCCGATGTCAAAGGGAAGTGCTGAAGATTTTGACGCGCCCCTAGGGCTCCCCCTAACACGTATGCACCGGTTGTCCAAGAGTGGACCTCGCTATTGGGTTGATCCATTCGAGCGGGGTTTTCGGATGGCAAAAATGAAACGAGGGTGCCAATGCACCCCACATCAAAAACCTGGGATTGTATGACCTCGAAAGCCAAGGCCTCAGCAGGGTGATCAGTGACCACACAAGACAAATCAACCCTTGCGCACAAGCTCGCGAAGACGCCTGGATCGAAGGGCGATGGGCCACACTCGGCAAAATTGGAATTATCTGCGGTTGCCGTCGGCTCAGGGCTCCCCGAGCCGACAGCTTGTCACTCCTTGTCCTTATGATTCAAGAGAGCATGCTCGCCGAAGCACCGAGCACAGACATGCTTGCGAGGGCAATTTGGAACAGTGCACTTGCCATGAGTGGAATATGTGAAGCAAATGGGCTCACCTGTCGGCGTGGCCGCGTGACCTCCTCGATCCCTGATGAACTTGGGGATGCTCACCCAAGGAGCAGCTGTTTTGCCGCCGCCCTTTTTATCGCCCTTCTTGCCCTTGTCCTTGCCCTTGCCGGGATTGTCCTGAGACTGGGTTCGCAGCCGCTTCCAAGGCCTCTGCGTCGAGGAAGCCCCCTTACTGGCTTGATGCATCAATGCAAAGCTCACCTCGTACGACTCAAGAGCCACATGAAGAGCCCTGTCCATGGGCTTCTCACCGTCTGCGCTTTGCTTTGGCTTTATGTTAAGTTCAATCAGCTTTGTGAACACAAGACGATCGGCTTCGACAATCTGGCTGACTGAAATGCGATTGAAGGACGGTGGTGGGTCTCTGTGCATGTGGGCGAAGAGCCTCGTCACATAACGATCATACGCTCCCCAGCTCACGGATTGGGAGAACGTGTATGCGATGCCCCGCCTGCGCAATGCTTCTTGCACCTGCAAAGCTGACGAGGCTGGCATGGAGAGCTCATCATGAGCCTCCTTGATCACCAAGCGGCTCTGGTCCAAAACTCCACCTGTCGGCTCGTTGGCTTAGCGTGCGTCACCTCATGCAGTCTGCTGATGCATCTGTCCGGGGAGAGGTATTTCAACTGACCCAAAGCTTCCTGATGAGCGCATTCGTCCAAGAGTTTCCTCCCGGGCTCCAAGGGTCCCTCAATGCTCAGCCCCACAAGGTCTTCACGGAGTCGCTGCAACCGTCTCTCTCGCTCGGCTTCTGGAACCTTCTTGCTAGCCGCTTCTGGCTCTGTGACTTGCGCTCGCAGTTGTGTGAGTGCCAGGGTCTGAGCCTCAAACAAGAGCCGCTTGAGCGAAGCAAGATCAGCAGCAGTTGCCGCCGGCACGTGGTTCCGGCACCAATCCACAAACTCAAGCTCCGGGATGAGCTGCCCTGGCTGCCCTACCGTGTAAGCAAGCTGCCCTAAAGTCCGGAAGCCATGCCTCCTCAAGGCCAGGACCGAAGCATCCGAGAGCCTCACTTCTGCAGCCCTCGCCACGAAATGTGCCTCAGACTCCACCAAAGATGTCATGGCGTCGGGATGCCCTGCCCTAGCAAGAAGCAAGTTACGTAGGAACGAAACACTCAAGGCCAAGCTAGACAAGCGAAGATGACTCAGAGAAAAGTGCGGCAAGTAGACGTCTCCCCTCCTGGCAATTCAAACCATGTTTCCAGGAACTCGAGCCACTCTTCGGAATCGCAAACTTGATCCGGGATGCGAAATCCCTTTTGGGCAGGGCCATGCCCCTCAGGCCCGAGGAGGGTGGCAGCTCCTTGGAGCCCATGCCACCCACTTCCACTGGATCATAATCAGCAACCATGGCTCAAGACTTGAACTCCCATGCCACAGGTCTTTGGCGCCATGCGCTCGCACATTGCAGCTGCAGCCTCACCTCCTTTTTCAATCAGCGGGAATTTCGCTCACAGGTCTTGCACGTGAGATTTCCCATGCGCGTAATGTCATCGACGGCTTTATAAGCCTGGGTGCGTGGCCTTCCACACAGCAAAATCTTCTCGCGATACACTGCAAAATTTGGGAGCGCCTGTGCACCACCCAACCACCTTCGGCCTCAACACGACCGGCATCCCCTGCAGCAGCCCTGGGCCGTTTTGAAGGCGCCTCACCGCCCTCACCCGACTCGCTCGAATCGTCATCACTGCTGCTGCTGCTACTGGAAGTGGCACTACTGCTCTGACCCTCGTCGCCTGACGATGCGGCCTCAACGGGTGCCCTCTCCTCTCTGATGTCTGCTGGCCGGTCCACATCCGGCGGCTGCCTAGGCGGCCCACCAATTTCCCCGGCAGGGGGAGGGAAAGCCCACATAAGAGCCCTCGAAGCATCTGGCGCAAAGGATCCTGCCAGGATGAATTTCATCAGCGTCTCGAGTTTCTGAACATGAGGCAACCCCAGCTCGACTGAGTAGATTGCTTCCGTACCCTCAGTTGCATAGGCGTGACGACCAAGACAGCACCTCGTGAGCCTGTCGAAGCCTGCCTTGCTTGCCCAAGATAAGCAAGTCCTTTTCAAGATGTGGCTCGAAACTCGCTCCCCCGTCAACGGAGCTTCACGGTCCAGCCCCAGCGCAAGACGAACAAAGACCGAAACCTCCCCTGATGTAATGCTGCGGCGGCACAAGTCGACTGATGACAGGTCCTTCGGAGGCCGGCACAACGGCCCCTTGATCTCACCTGAAAGTGCCAGGCCAACACGTTCAAAGGCAGCCTTAGCCTCATATATCCAAGGCAGCGGGTGGACTCCAGCCACGGGCACAATGATGGGCAGCAGACGAGCCTTCTTGGCTGTGGCCCTCGATGTCTTATGATGCCTGGTGTAGATGATGATGTACCCTTGCCGGCCCTGAACCTCCCCAGGTCCCGCAGGAGGCACGTCCCACTCGATGTGGTCAACCCTCTTGAGATCACTGTGCCGTGCACGGCCATACAAGGCAACAAGCGAGTATGCACAGAAAACTTTATCCCAGGGGCTTGTCATGGAGCACTAAGATCTGTTCGGTTACGGCTTCCGTTTCCT